GAAGGGAAGCGAGACGCATTTGCAGAAAGAAAAAGAAAGAGGCCGAAATGCGTGAGTATGAAGAGCTTGACAGGCTGGCCGACGGGGTAATGCTCTAAAATTCTTTGAAAAAATGCGACGATTGACAGAAGGTTTCAAGACCGGAGCATATTCTCGTAGAACCCCAAAAGGCGATCTAGTAACCGATGCGCCGAGAGCATATTAAAACACTTTTCCAGCCTACTAAATGGCAGTAAAAAAAAACAACGGCGGGAGAAGGCGAACCCGATTCCCCATTCGATGACGACGGAGCAGACGTTCTATTGCCCTATCATGAAGAAGTTCGAATTGCAATTACCCGTCCGAAGAACAACAAAGCGGCGAGGGTCGATGGATTGAAGACCGAGCTATTCAAACACGGTGGCGAAGAACTGATAAGTAGCATTCATCCGGGTGGAAATTAAGTATACTCTGCTAATCCACAATAAGAGAACCCCCACAATATGCCGTGGGATAAGCCTAATGAACATCGCATATATGGTTCTGTTGAGGATATTCTGTGAGAGATTAAAGCCCATTACATTCACCACCTCTTCAAAGATCTCAAAACTGTCTTTGACAGAACGAAAAGGAGCTGCCTTTATGCCGGGATGTCTGAATTTGTTACCCCCGCAAAACTAATACTACAGTGTAAGCGTTGAGCAAACGCACTAAAAGCTCTGTCAGAATCGGGAAGGACCTCTCCGAACCGTTCGACACCAAACGAGGTTTCAGACAAGGCAACTCTCTTTCTTGTGACTTCATCAACCTACTTCTGGAGAAACTAATTCGAGCTGCAGAACGAAACAGAGCAGGTACAATCTTCTATAAGAATATACAGCTGCTGGCGTATGCTGATGATATTACTATCATTGGCCTCAACATCCGCGCCGTTAGTTCTGCTTTCTCCAGAATGGATAAGGCAGCAAAGCATCCTGTCACCAAACAAACAGTCGTCGCACTTGCGACTACCCATGTCACTGTAGACAGTCAAGACTTCGAAGTTGTAGATAATTTCGTCTATCTTGGAACCAGAATCAACACCTGCAACAATGTCAGCCTGGAAATACTTGCCAACTGGTCCTTTGCACGTTGGCCATGGCAAATATCGCATTCGATGGAACGATGAGCTATATGAGATATACGTCGACAWAGACAGCGGCTGCGCTGGATAGGTCATGTTGTCGAAATGAACGAAAACACTCCAGCTCTGAAAATATTCGACGCAGTACCCGCCGGGGAAACCAGAAGAAGAGAGAAGTGGAAGAACCTGGCTTCGCGTGGTATCTCCAATTTCCGCCACCTTGCCAAAAAAAGAAACGACTGGCGCGCTATGTCCGCGTGAGCGGTTTCTACTCCAGTGAAGAAGAAGAATAATATTATTATTTAATATTGTTTATTAAATTTAAATAAGAAAATATGCCTATCCATGGAWATTTTGTTTATACTCATTTTAATTTGAAATACAATTTATGGACGCTTTTTTAATTGTAAATTTCTTACTTATAAAACCTGCAAACAGTATAAATTGTGAATTTGTTTAAATACTTACAGTTTAATTTAATGAATTTGAAGTGAAAATTATGAATGAAGTGTGTTAAATGTAGTGAAATAGCTTGTTGAAATATTCGAATTTTGGAAATTTTTGAACTATAAAATCGATTATCTCGTAAACTGCTACATATATGTGGAGTGTTCGTGTGGGCGCATCCTTCTATGACGAATTTCCAAAAAGAAAGAGAACGATCTTCGCATTTTATTTGACATAAAGGTTTGACACAAAAGGAAAAGAAAATCATACATAGCGAAATGTCAAACTAGCAGGTAGAGTTACCATGCTTARTACAATTATAATTAACTCCGAAATGAGTGGCGGTGCTGCCACAGTACTCCCCTCCTTATTTTCCCCCTGCGGGTAGGGGGGACCCCTCCAGGGCTCCAGGCGACTATAAGCCATATGCACTATGTCAGGCTTTAGAGACCATGTTTTGATGTCAACATGGTCTAAGTCAGATAAGTGCTATAATATTCAGCTGGAAGTCAAATTCTAAGCTTTATATTTATATCTCAAAATATAAGGCATTTGTCACAGCTACAAATGCAACCAGTCATTGAGTTTATACGGGAACTCAACTGGAAGTAGCAACTAGTTACAAAGTCAGACCAAAGACTATAACCTGGGGAGCAGTAAGCCCTTGGAGGTAACTCCAATCTGCTCATTGGGTTTGGCCCTTTGTGGAGATTCGTGGTGGCTGTGGTTTATACCTAAATGCAGGAAGGGCATTTTGTTCAATGTGGAGTCGCACTGCGACCGGGTGCCGGACCCAAAGTACGGCAGAGGTTTTAGATGGGCCTCGTACCCGACCAA